ACTCCAAGATCCCTTTCCGCCTCTGTGCTCACAAGGGGGGAGCTGCCCAGCTTGTATGTATGCTGTGGATTCCTTCTCCCCAGGTGCAGCACCCTGCATTTATCTACATTGAACCCCATCCTGTTACCATCCACCCACTTCTGTAGTCTGTCTAAATCTAATTGCAGCCTGTCTCTCCCTTCAAGCGTGCCTACCTCTCCCCACATCTTGGTGTCATCGGCAGACTTGGACAACATGTTTTTCACCCCCCTTGTCCAAGTCACTGATGAAGATGTTGAACAGTGTAGGCTCCAGGACCAAGCCCTGGGGTATTTCATGACTCTTAAAGTTTCTGATTGACTTGATTACCTGGGAATAGGTTGAGTAGGGACTGGCCAGAAAAAGTAAATTTGCAGTAGTCCATACAGGAGTCGCATTTTGAACAGCTGTAAATAGATGTCGCATTTGATGTTGGCCAAATTATGCTGGGGTTTGACCTTGATCAAAACAGGAGTGGCATAGTCATTTACACACATTGATAGTGTATTTTATTCTGCATACTTTGGCAAGAATTCAAATAGGACAGGAAACTTATGTCTGTTGGGTTGTGGCACAAAATGTTTTCTCCTGGAACAAATGCGTCATCTATTTATGGCCTAGGTTCTATGCTCAAGACTGATGGAAAGCTCCTATTTTGGTCATTGAGGGAAGCAGCAATGAGAGATACTTGCAGGGACAGTTTGGTTGAGATTTTATAGATGCTGCCCTGTGAGTACTCTAGCCAGTGCTTTCTTGACTATGTTAAGTAAAGGAGCTCCCCCAAAAAACTGGTAGCACATCATCCTTTACTGCACCTTTCTTCTAGGTCCCAATGACTTGGCCTTTCTCAGTTTTATCTTTGCCTTCCAGTTGCACCTGTTTTCAGGACCCTTTGTTTACGATCTCTGTCTCAATTTCGTCCAGGTGCTCTCCTGCCTTTTTTTATCTGGGCATGTCAGTATCTGCATTGAGAAAACACTTTAGAGTATTTGTGCGTAGCACCAGCTCTACTGCTTCTCCAAATTTGTTTTAGGCTCAGCACTTCCATTAGTTTACTTTGGTGTTTCCCTTGAGAAGTCTGTTCTCCTCCCCCCTGCCTTTTTTTCTTTTTTGTAGGTGGAAGTGGAAGAACGGGTTAGTTAAAATGCTTAATAAAGGAGGAAGGTAATTCATTGTTTTCAAATCTTGGCCACGTTGTGGAATTTGGATATTGTCTAAGATGACCGGGTTAGGTGTTGCCTATCTTGATATCTGTATGATATATCTGCATATGTAATATGACAAGCATTAGAAGCGCCTCTAAACCCTCTCTGAGGCAACCCAGAACATATTTCAGGTAAACCTTTCAAGCTGAAGCCTGAATTGACCAAAAATGCTGAGGATTGGGATTTGGTGCCAACACTGCCTGGCATCACCACTCAAACCCTTCCTCTGCTTGATAATAAGATCAGGGCAGCTTTGCCATAAACCGCTTTGCATTGTCACTAGCAAAGACAGGAGCTCCAGATCTCTGCACTTGAAGTCAAAAGTACCAAGTGCTGTCTCTGCAGATAAGGCAGAGCCTCTGAATAAATTGTTGAAGAGGTGAGAGAAGCTTAGTTGCTCCCCAGTCTGTCTGTATTGAGTCCCTCTTAGGATTTTCTGTTTTCATGCTCAAAATAGATTGGGGAGCAGTGATTCTGGATATGTATGTGCTCAGTGATCTAACCCAGTTGCCCCTATAGATCTTTGTGGGGCAGCACAAACCCCACAGTGTCAGTTATGAGATATTCAGGGTTCATATGCCTCACTCTATATTAGCAGAAGCCAGGATATTTTAGTTCATCCAGAACAATGTGTATGTCCAAAATATAGTGTTTCTATTGCAGAAAGATGCTAGTACCCTTAGTGTGTCTTGTACTGGGATTTCAGTACAGATGGGATTGATGCTTCCCAGATCACTTAGTACAACACTTCTCATGAAGGTTTTGATCTGTTCCCATACAGCAGTGATTCTCAGTCAGGGTGCCATGTCCTTTCAAAGGTGCTGTGAGTTGCCATGCAATGTTAGCACTGTTGAGTGTAAAAACATGATTAACAAGGCAAACCAGGGATTTCAAATATGAATCCAGCATTAAAAACATCCTGACCTGTTGTGATATTTTTATAATAAAAGAATTGCTCTATTTGTTTTTTTTTGTAGTCAGAAATGAATGAAAACTAAGAGCTGGCATTTCCCAAGGAGTGCCTTGAATCTAACTGAAGATTAAGTTTAAAAAGGTTGAGAACCACTGCCAAAGACCCTGAGGACTTCATACTATGCTAATCCTTCTCAGAAACGGTCATTTTCCCAGTTGCGTACTGCAACACTTAGTCAAGTTTCTTAAATGCTCCAGCAGGACCCTCAGTGTGATCTCTGGCATACCTTATTAGCTCTAGGGAAAGATTGTTGATGACTGAGAGAGATGATGCTGGTTGCTTTGAACTTCCTTTTTTTCTAGCATTCTGTTGCACAATCAAAATTAAAGACTGTCAACATACCTGAGGCAGGTTCCTTTAAATTACTTTCCCCAGACAAGTATTTCCAAATTCCCACAGAAAGTATATCAAGAAGTTAGCCTTGGTACTGAACCAGATGTAAGGTGATGGTTCTGTGAGAAGTGTCACTAACATACTTAGTTTTCAGCTTTTCTTTTCATTTATAGTAATGCTTGTAAGAGAGATGAGATTTGGGAGGAGTTTGGAATGCTGTTTTAATACCTGCAACATTTAACTCTTCCCTAAAATGTGTTTTGTATATGTGCACACGCGTATTGTATATGAGGTAAAATTGACTAACTGTTTACTTTTAAAACTTAGTATGAAAATGATGACAGACCACAAGAAGAAGTCAGTTACAGGCAGTTAAAATCAGTGGAAGTGAAACCTGAGCTACTCAATGGCCACATACCAGCAGGCCACATTCCTAAGCCTATAGTGATGCCAGACTACTTAGCGTAAGTGTCTTTACAATACTCTCCATTAAATTTCTCCACTGAGTTTAGCAGGGTGGGGTGGGATTTCACCCCCCAGTGTCTCATCTAACAATTTCAGCCTTTATATCATACTTCATTCTCTGTGGGTCTCAGACTTCTTACTGAAATGAATGTTAACTACTGGGTCCCTGTCTGTCTTGTATGTAAATGCAGAATAGTTGAAAAAATTAATATTTAAAATGGAAAGTTTGGTTCAGTATTAAATCCAAAGTTAAGCTAATTATCAAGTAAATGGGGAAGGACATAAATACAGAAAAATCAAAAACAAAAGTACAGGAAATTCCACTACTTGCAGCTTGAACCAGCTGGTGACAAATCTGTAACATAGCCCTTCTTTAAAGTGTGTGACTGAACCTGTAATTGGCAAAAATAAAGTTTGAGGTTTGACACTTAATGACTGGATATGGGATCCTGGAGTAGGAAAACTGAGGCACAATCTTTTATTGTTTGTAGGCTCTCTGGAAAGTAATATTCTTTTACTAGTATTTAACTATTTATGACGTTGGGTCAGTTTTCTGCTTGAATTTAAAAGTGACCTGTGGAGTAGATTTGTCTCTCTACTACTTTGACATACTTTTAGATACAAGATTGCTATAATGTCTTAATGCAGATGTCTGAAATAGTAAACAATAAACATAGCACGTGGGAGCAAATATATTACTTTCTTAATATTTCTAAGAAGTTAAAGAAATATTCCTTGCACTGATTGTACCTAGTGCTGCCTCCTTTATCTCTGACTTCTCTGCACGTTCCTGGTTATATTTGTTGTTTTGTAATTTTTTTCTGCTCATTTTACCTATTTTTTGATTTATTGGTCAGTAATTACTAGAGAACCTGGAGAATTGTAATTTTTTTAAAATTCTGATCTTGCTTTTCTCCAAGCAGAGAGATCCAGCAGTAACGTCCTTTGACTTCTTTTCAGGGAAGATTTCTGAAGTTATTTTTTTTCCTTTAACATGAAACTCCCATTCCATTTTTTTTACAAACAGCAGTTTCAAATGTAGTTTCCTTTGCCTCTTAAACAGAAAAAGGACAAATTATATTTCAATCCAGGTAATCCAAAACTATTTTTTTGACTTTCTAAACAGGAAAACAAATATCCTCAGGCACTCAGAGAGAGAGTTCTGATGTTAAAGAAATAATCATGGTTTTTAAATCAACTCTTATATTCACCTTCTTATCATGGTTAAATCTTGTAAAAACGGTATAATGAAAATTCAATTGTTGGTATGATTTTCCTGTAGCATTATATGCATTACAGTGTCCAGTATAGCAAATTAAGCCAGAACTGATAACTTCTGGCCAAGGAAATTTAAGATACGGTTAAAATTCATACAAAATTAATAGCCTCTTCAAACTGATAGAGCAGCAGATAGTTTCACAAGGTACATTTTAGGAAATACTAATTTGTGTAATCAACTCTGCATTTCAAAATCGTATGTATAACATGCTGAACGTTCTGTGTAATATTAACAAAAATTACTTGGGAAATCAAATTCACAATTTTTGGGAAAGTTATCATTCTGGTGCAAGTAATAGATTTTTTTGTTTGGGGTTTTTTTTTTTTATAGGAAATACCCAGCCATTCAGACAGATGAGATGCGAGAGCGCTATAAAGCTGTGTTCAATGATCAGTTTGCTGAGTATAAAGAGCTCTCTGCTGAAGTTCAAGCTGTCTTAAAAAAATTTGATGAACTAGATACATGGATGAGAAAGTTGCCTCATCACTCTGGAAACATGCTTGTAAGTACCTAAATAGAAAGAAAAGAAACTCCAAGTTGTTTATAAAGCAACTCAGAGTTGTGATGTAGAAAACAAAGAACAGAAGAGACTAATGAACCCCACTTCCTTTTATCACTGGTTGCGGAAAAAGCTGTTGGTGGAACCATTTGTCAGTTTTGAAAAATCTTTAGATGCTTTTGGACTAGGACCAGAGTTTCAAACCTGGATATCAGCTCTGTACTTTAATCCATATGTAGCCATAAGAGTAAATGGATGCTTATTAGAAAAAAATCCCCTTTTAAGAAGTGTATATCAAGAATGCCCATTATCATCCCTCCTTTTTGCTATGAAACCATTTGTTCAAACAGTCAGAAATAATCTGAACATGCAGGGAATAAACATAGTACAAAAAGAGCATAAATTAGCATTATATGCAGATGATGTTAGGTTATACTTTACAAAACCAATTAATGCAGTATCTGAACAACAGAAAGAAATAATAAAATATGACAACATTTCAGGATTTTAAATGAACTATGAAAAATCAGAGCTTCTACATTATTGCTATTGGACCAGGCATCCAAAAGGGAGCAAAGATATATAGATATCTGTATATAGACATCTATATATAGATATATGGGTAACTACATTAAAACACTTAGAGGTGAATATTACTTAAAAAAATGGCAGCACTTGTACAGTTTTAATTAAATTCCTTTGATTTAAAGAATCAAATTGGGTCAAAATATGAAATGTCATAGTTAAGTAGATTCACAGCAGTCAAAATGAATATTTCAGCTTTGATTAATTTTCTGTTCCAAACTACTTATAGTACCAACAAATCTCTTAGTTGCATGGCAGGCTATGATAAATAAATGTATTTAGGGAAATAAGGAGCCTAGATTAAAAAATTCCATCCTGCAAAGAGCACAGCAAAAGGGGAGATTGATGGTTCCAAAAATTTGATGTTACTACCAAGCCAGCGAACTTAGAAATTTGGTGTATTGGATAATACCAATCACAATAAGCCAGAGTAAAGATGCAGCAAACATGTTGTCCAGCAGTCAAACAACCTATTACCATGGCTAAAAAAATTTCCAGGCAAAATTCTATATATAATTGCTAGGGGTGCACCGATAAGAGATTTTGGGGGCTGATACCAATAGCCGATATATAAGGAGGCATATCAGCTGATACCAATCTGATTTCCAATACAATATCAGCTGATACCAATCTGATTTCCAATACAGCTGCCTCCAGGTGGTAAGTCTGTTGTGGTGGAAGGGGTGTGGGGGCGCAGATCAATGCCCCTGCAGTGAGGAAAGGAGGCGGTAGGGGCAGGTGCTATCCGTGGGGGGATGGGGGCGCAGAAGGGAGGCACAGCTCATGGGGACAGGACAGCTCCCACCGCTGCTTGCACTCCAGGAGGGCAGGAGGGGTATGCCCCCAAGATCTGTGTGGGGCAGGCTGCAGCCAGCACTGCGCATCTCTTCTTGGTGGCACTGGGAGGGGCTGCAGCCACCCCAGATTTTGCCACTGCTCCACTCCTAGCCCTGCACTGCCAGGTGCAGCCTGGATCTATGTCCTGCTTCCACCCACACGCTGGGAAGAGCAGAGACTGCGTCCAGTGGCGGCACTGGGAGCAGAGCAGCAGCAAAATTTGGGGTGGCTGCAGCCCCTCTCGGTGCCGCTAGTATCTGCTCCGAGCCCAGCCCCTGCTGAGAAGAGCCATGCAGCACCGGCTGCAGCCTGCCCTGCCCCACCTCACACACATGTGGGGGGCATACCCCCTTGACCTCCCAGGGTGCAAGCAGTGGTGGGAGCCACCCCCCACAGGAGCCGTGCCTCCATTCTGCGCCCCCACCCCCTTGGGCAGCGCTTGGCCCCTCCCTCCCTCACCATGGAGGCATTGATCTGCCTCTCCCACACCCCTTCCCTTCCCCCTCCCCTTCTGACTTAACAGCTGGAGGCAGCTCTCCACATTCTCGGCTTTGCTTTGTGCTGCGCTGCAGCTGCACACAGCATGGGTATTTATCAGCCCCATCAGGCCGATACCCGATGCAACAAATTTTCTTTTATCGGTACTAATCTAGTATTGGACCAATGTATCTGTGCACCTCTAATAACTGCCCCTTTATGAAAATAACAATGAAAACCAGGGTCAACACATATAAGAAATTAAGCTCATAGCATCTATAATAATAATAATAATAATAATAATAATGAATTTAATCCTGATAATTTATTAGGAAGCTTTAATATCTGGAAACATTGTTATGGTATGTATTGGATAGTTATTTAAAGAAAATATATTTAGATTTTTTTTTGAAGTATTTGTACTGCAGGTGACATTACAATTTATTTTTTTCTAATACCTGCAAGTAGAATGCTTTTCAATACACTCCTAAAGAAAGGTAAACCTCAGTAGACAGAATTTGAGAAAAATATTGGTCATGCATATGATACATACAAGTCTATTTTCTGTGTTTTATATAAAAGCAATTTTAAATAGCTATATAGTGAAAAAACACAAAGTGGGCTAGTGATATTGGAATAGAAAGTGGTGCTGTAGATTGGGAGACCACCTGGAACAATGGGAGACCACCTCCTCACACATCCATGTGCACAACAATAAAAGAAACCTTTGATATAGGATTTTAAGTTATCTGACCCCACTTAAATGCGTTTATGATATAGGTGCAGGCAAATGATGGAGGGAATGTAATCAGTTGGGAGAATTCCATCACATGTGGTGAATATGTCCCAGAATTAAACTGTTGTGGAATAAAGTTAGAGACGCAGTAATGGAAATAAGAGGATGCCAATTATCAGATAACCCCTTAGTGTTCCTTTTGAACCTTCCTAAGAACTCTGCAACACAAGTGTCACAGGGAATTAATTCCTTGTTTTCTAGTGGCTGAAAGAATTACAGTTGCAAAGCCTGGAAGAGAAGTAACGCTCCTAAAATCACTGACTGTTTTAAAAAAGTTTGGGAAGTTTTAGTAATGGAAAAGGTGTCCTATTGAGTCAGCATTCTGCAGGAGAGAAGGTATAAAGATGCTTACTTTGAAATCTGGCAGAAAGTTTTGGGATTTTCTGAAAAAGAATTATCTTCTGTGTCCAAGCCAGAACATTTGAGAAACATATTTGAATGTTGAACTGCAAGTTCTGTGAGTTAACACTTAAGAATAAATTTAGAATAAATTTAAAAATTAAAAGCAGAGGTGGGTAGAAGATAATGAAATTTGTGTTATGCAGTCTTAGGGAAAAGGATGGGACGAATTGTTGCACAGGGATGAAAGAACACAGGGGCTTGGTAATAGCAGAAACATTGACAAACTGTTGGAGACTGAGGCTAGGGACAGAAATTACCTATAAACTGGTACAAAGTGATCAGACACCTGTTCAGATCTGTAACACAACAGAAGTTCAATGCACATAAGCCTCTTTCAAAATGGCTGAAACCAGTGTAAGGTAAGCACTGATGAATGTAGTATCAGACTTAACTGATTTTAAGTTCAGTTGTTTTATTGAGCTTATGTTCCAGATCCCCTCCAAATTAAATTTAACTCAGTCTCACAGCAGCCCAGGATGCTTTGCACCTTCCCCACAAGCCCCCTCCCCACCGCCCTTGGACACGGTGAGTGGGCTGGCCCAAGCTGTCTGCTCCAGCAGAGAAGGGAGTTGTGCTCTAGTGCTTCCTGGCCTGAACCATTGCAGGCCTGTGGCTGCATTTCTGGAATCAAAAGTGAATGTCTGTTCACTTGCATATCAGTTCAATTTATGGAGTTTAGAGTAACTTGCAAAGAGTCAGCCTTGGGCTTTTTAATCGTCTGTACTTAGCCTGGGGGAGGAAAGGAAGGGAACACACAACTTCTGTGGACATTGAATTGGTTTGTGGTAGTACTGTTGATAAGTTAATATCTGTCTTTATCTATATTTTGGGGTTTGGGTATGTTTTGAATATTAAATCTCTTATGAGCTATATTAATTAATAATAAGGTTTAAAAAGAAGTCCAGGGACAGTGTTAGCCAATTGGAAACTGTTTCTGTGTGGAGAAATATCTTACAATAAGATGACCAGGCATGCATGATGGACTTAATGTTCCCCCAAAATTGTCTTTGTATTTAAGTCATCAGTTCTGTAAAACTTAATCATGAATAACTTCCACTCATTTTACTATTCCATCATTTCTTACCAAACTTGAAAACAATTCAAATAAATTACTAAATTTTAGTTTTTAATAACATTTTATTGTGACATGCTCGACAATTCAACAAATTACAGTTTATGGTTAAAACAAAAACTAACAGTAATTTTAACCATATCAAATTACTTCTAACCTATGACAGAAGCATGAACAGAAGAATACTAAGCAAACGTGAGTCTTATCAACTCTTAACCTCCCCCCATCCTTTTTTTTTTAATAGGAACAGGAAAGGATTTCAAAAGTTCTACAGGAGTATAATAGAAAAAAGAATGTGAGTATGATCAGCTTTACATCTTAATGCTAGCTTGCAGTACTAATCGAAGGTTAGTTGAGAGGATACAAGTCAAAAGTAAGCACAACCTGTTGGCTAGAGGTATGCCCAGCCTTCTTGCATATCCACAACTGTTAGAGAGATATGTATTTGTCATTTAAAACTCTGGATATTAAAACAAGTGGGTAAAATTAGTACTCAACCTATCCCAATCTTCAATGATGGTCACTTCTTCCAATAAGATTAGATCTGTAAATCAGCCTTGAAAGGAAATAGTTGAATTTCTTAAAATAAAATATGTATCAGTTTGTCAGTAGGTCCCATCTATGAGCATTTGCCTTCAGAGGGTGCCCAACATCATTCAGTTAATTCTTGGAGCCAGTACATTTCTATTTACCTGTATAAGAAAAAAACAAGAGTTTTGTCAGTGGCAGAACTACCTGGGGCACATTCTCAAATTTTCTTTTGACTCAGAAAATATTTGGTGGAGGAGCAGAATATATAGCATTCTTGCATTGCTGGAATCTTTTACTTGATAACAGTTATGGTAGGCCAGTTTTGAATGAGGATAATTGTTTGTATCCCATTAAAATCTTGGGTATAACGAATCTCTTTATTCATAAATTTCTTTTTTATTTGGTTCATAGTGAACATTTTAGTGCTTTTTTTCACTGTTTTTCATTTGAGTTTGTACATAGTTTTTATTCTTATTATCAAGTAAACTATACCAAAACACATGTGCACACAGAGAGAGTCTGAACAGGATTGCTGAACATAACATATTCAAATAATATTAAAACTACTTTTTTTATTAAATGGTTAACATGTATGCTGAAATCACATAGTCTCACTTAAGGCCACAAAGGGAAGAAGAATGGGGATAAGAAATTATGCCCGAGGAAAAATATGTTCTTTGAGGGCAAGGATCCGTATATGATTGCAGTTGACTGAGGGCTGCAAATACTAATGAATGATTGTTCTTAAAGAAAACTGAATGGTACATTGTATAAATTATAGAATTGCTTACATATTTCTTACAGGATCCTTCCTTTCTGGAGAAAAAAGAACGCTGTGAATACCTAAAGAATAAACTTTCTCACATAAAACAACGAATTCAGGACTATGATAAAGTTATGAACTGGAGTGTGCAAACTTAGAATTATCAGAACTTTATGTAGAAGATATTTACTATTTTTAACTAGAAATTATAATTTTAAAATATTTATTTACTGTAAATTTCCAACTGTGAAACCAATTACTTTCTGAATCAATGCTTTATATGTAACCTGTTTAAATTATGTGTGTTTGACAGGCTTTGCACAAAACAGGCAAAATTTAAATGCAATTTAATCAAGTTATAGGACTTTTTTTTTCAGGGCACCTATATTAATCTGATGCTTTTATTAATAGCAGATTGAGGCCAAAGTCTGTTCCATTTCTTTCATTCATATGTGAAATAATGTATTCATTTTCTTTTCTCTTGGCTCTGTTTTTTAAAATGTGTACATCACCCAGCATTCAATCATATGGCTAATAAGCAGGGATCCTTATTTTCCGCTTTTAAAAAGTTGCAAATTATTTTATAAAGCCCCCCAAATCTGTGATTAAAACGAAAGCCCCTCCCCACCTCACTCCACCCCCAGCCCTGCTGATGTCCCTCACTCCTACCCCCCAGCCCTGTTGGTGCCTCTTGTGCCCCTCATGCCCCTCCGCCACAGGCTGAGGCTCAGGCTCCTGCTCTGCTGCCCTCCTGCAGGGCCTCTGCAGCTCAGTGGGTGCAACCCAACACTGCAGGGAACAGCAGAGCTGCTCAGAAAAGCTGCTTGCCACTGCAAGCTCTGCACTGCCCTGGTGACATGTCCCCTCTGCGCACGGCAGCAGTGAGGGGCACAACCCCACACCTCTGTCCCTGCTGCTGCCCTTGTGCAGCATGTACCCAGGAGTGTGCATAGCAACAGGGAGCCAGCCCCCCCACTGCCTCCCCCCCTTGACGAGCTGCCCAGAGCCCCGGGCCCCAAACCCCATGCACCATCTGGCTGGGCAGCAGTCCCAGCCTTGCTGAACTCCCTCCCCATGGGGGCCTTAATCCCCACCACCACTTACGTGCTGAAGCTGCTCTCCAGGCTGCCTAGCTGCCATGTGCATATACATACACATGGTAACCCATGTCTGACCGCCCCCCTCCCGCTCCGTCCCAGCCCCTTGCGGGCTGGAACTCTGCCAGCTTGCAGAGAGCTCATTGCAAAACTGCAAAATCCACAGGTTTCTCTGCTAAAATGAGAAATCTGCATTTTACTCCTGTAAGGGGGGAAATTTGCGTTTTACTCCATTTTTCCATGGGACTTGGAAAACCCAGATCCCTGATAATAAGCATATGCACATGCACTAGGAGCTCAGGATAATGACTTGGCTCATTGCCCATATGGTATAAGATGGGCTCTTCTTATTGGATTTATTCAGCAGAGCATTTAAGAATATTGAGTATTTTCACTGATTTCAGTAAGACTATAATTGCAGTGCGTCAGAGCAGACTTGATTAATTGAGGCTGCTGGAGCATGGTAATTACCATACTCCAGTGCCTCCTGCATCTTGTGCATCATCAGCATTCCCATGCTTAAAAATAGTGGTGGGGGTACTTGAACTAAAGTTTACTGAATAAGCTTAAGTTCAAGAGCCGCCCAGCACCATTTTTAAGCACAGAGATGCTGATACACAAGATGCTGCAACGCTTTAATTAGAGCAGTTCTCAGACCCGCTGTAATTAAAGCGCGGCCACTCCCCCATCCCCAAAACGCATGTAAAAGTGCCCTTACTGTCTTTAAGTGATCTGTTAAATCAGATTCATTAAGATTTTTCAGTTCTGATTGAATTTGTTGACTTAAGGATCACTTCTGTCTTGTAGGGTGAGCCATAACATTCTCAAAAGTCAGCGAGTGGCAGTACCTAGCAGAAGGGTGAAAAATTCAGTTCCAGCCTCCTTTTTTTTCTCTCTCACCTTGCTGCCTAAACCTGATTATTTAACTAGGTCTTATATTTTTTCAGTCCTTTATCATGCAGACCTTCAAGAAATGAGAGTTATGTCTTTATAATGATTGAAGAACAGGGTCCTATATTAGCAACCACAGCATAGCATGATTCTAACCTCCCCTTTGCAGAGGTGAGGTAACTAATTCATACATACCCATTACTATACTGTGTGAATTAAGAGGTTAAACTCATGTCAAGACTGCTAATATTACTACAGGACTAGCCCTTGGGGTGATGTTAGTAGAAATGCATGTATTAAACTAAGAAAGGAAACACCTGTACTTTCACAGAGGAAAAGAACTCTCTTGTTGGAGTGAACTGAACAGTTGCTGGGCCAGTTAATGGTAAACTGATTCAGGTGATGATTACAGAATAAAATTTATTTCTCAGTTCAAAAGAAAATCAGAAGCATGCAGAGTGAAAAATGGAGACATCTGATATAAGTCCTAGTAGAATATTTTGTCAGTGAATAACAGCAAAATCCTCTTTAGAGAATTCAAGACCAGATTGTATTGTACCTATTGAGTGTCTCAGTCCATTTACACACTGCCCACATACTTCAAAAACAGTTCATGTAAAAGATGAGTGGGCCTCCCTCCTTCTCAGTGCTTTTTTGTGACTCAATCCTAAAGGCATACTACAAAATAAATACATTCATGGATTTTCAGGGACTTAACAGGGTGAAAGGGTACCTAAAGCCCCTTGGATACTCATTAAATGGAATAGAGTCTGGCCCTTATTTGTATATTAAAGCATATGGTGAATAAGGATTGAATTTGTAAAACTTTCTTTTATAACCATTGTAAATGTTTTAATAAGTTAGTAAATCATGTCATTTTCTTGATCTTTGTATGACTTTTCATATCTTTGTATGAGCTTTTTTTACTAAATAAATGCACTAAAATAGTATTATGCTTTCTTCTCCTATAACCTGTTTGCTGTGAAATTTTCTAAAACAAGCATGTTGCTGGACACTTTATTCTGAGACGCGTTATTTAGATTTCCAAAATCAGAACATAACCACAGTGCACATGGTCTTATTTATCATAGCATTTACTTGGAAGCAAGAGCTGTTATTAGGATTGCATCCAGGATTTTGTTAAAGATTTCTTCCTTCCCTCTCCTGCCCCCTTCTTCAACTGAATTTTTTTTTAGGCTTGGTTACAACTTAAAGCACAGAAATAATGAACACCGTCTCAAGCCGAAAATAAGTAATACAACTTTGTAGCTTTCCAAATCTTTAAGAAAAGATCTATTCCAGACTCCTAAAGCTTATACCACTGTTCTTCAGCACTAGCGTCTAATTGAAGTTGGTTTAAGTTACAAACTTCTCACCTCAATGCCCTTTGAAAGAAAATGGGGAAAACTTAAAAAGAAGAACATTCTGTCAATATACATAATATCAAGTTGATGGGTACTCAGGATATGAAATATAAAAGTTTGACATCTTTGCACATTGCTACTATGGTCCCATTGCTCATCCCACTATAAATGTACCATGTTTAAAGCCAAGAAAAAAGAAATGCAACATGCATGTTGTGTGAGCAGCAACTTATAGTCATGTTCTTCTATAGGAAATTTAAACTTGAAAACTTGTATTTGATATCTGAAATGTATGTTTGCATGTATGTATATACATACTTCAGATATTAATACAAATATATATATATATATATA